ACGACGTGATTACGTGTATTACGACTAGGTCATAATAATAATATATTAAAATAACACTTGTAATAATACGTGTATAATATTATTATATTCGCGCGGCGTTAGGTCGAGTTTAAGACGATGATAATAGACACCTGTAACGGCAAATTGTTCGCAAGCCGAAGTGGTTGTTCCGCGATATCGTCGGGCGTGCGACCGTAGTAATAATAATATTATATCCCATTGCTGCCCAGCTCGTGTAATAATAATAATAATGGTACGTATTATTATATTGTCTAGCTCGGCGGTTCGCACGTTTGCGCCGATGGTAAGAAAAATGCCCGACCGGAGACGTTAACGCGGCGGACCCGGACGTGTCGGCGTCGATCGCCCCCGCCCCGCCTGCAGTATTATACGGGTGCAATATAACGCAATCATCATCGGATATAGGTACGTGTCTCGGTACGGAAAGCTATTCGGCTGCACCGTTTCTAAACGGAAATACGTGAATATCGTTATTATGCCCACTCGTTTGACGTCCGGCAAAATAAACGATAATTGCATGGGCACAATAATAATACGCCCTAGACCTATGTCTTGTACAATATGCTACAATATATTATTATTTATTAGTTAGCGCCTTATATAGTACGAAAAACAATTCACAGCGAAGACGGTCTGTCAGCGGCCTGTGTTACTAAATATATTGTTTTATATTTATTTGCCCATCATCCGTATTACGGTAGGTAAACACCTGGGATGAATTCATTTTTGCCGAAAAATTTTTGTTTACTGTAAATATTAATATTTAATTACTATAATTATTATATTATTACTGTTATTGTTATTAACTTTTGAGTCTATACTGGCTCATACTGGCTTGCCGTATAACGGTATGAATATTATGTTCGTGGTGTTAAAATTTACAGGCAATAGCATAAACATTAAAATGGATCTAAATGTTTCTTTGTTTTATGTCTAAATTTGTACTTCAAACGCATATATAAACAAGATGAGACTGTGTATTTTCAGTATTCAATAATTGTAGTACATTAACAAGCTTTTTAACAAATATTTATAGAAAAAAATAAACTAAAAAATGACCTTTTATGAATAATTAAAAAAAGTTGAAATATTTTAAGACCTATAGGTACTATGCATAGAAAATGTTAATAAAAACATTTGAAGATAATTTCAAGTATCTACTGCAGTCTACAGTTATTCGTATTTGAATTATTAGAAAATAAGAAAATCGTTTCATAAAAAATGTTTATTTTACACTTGAATATTTTCGTACATTTTTATCAAGACGCGTGTATACAATAAATTATGACACAATAAAGTGTTTACGTTAGTTTCCTCTACTAAATTTAGAGAACTTAAAACACATATTTTGACTATAATAATCCTATTAAAATTTCACAAACGTATGTTAAAAATATTTGTCTGATTTTAATTGTATTATTGATCTGTAAAAGCGTGCTTCCCGCCGGTTCAGATCCATAAGATGATAATATAATATATTAATACAAGTATAAAAGCAACGTTCCTCCGCCTATACTCAAAAAAAATTCAAAAATAATATATGTGTATTGGTTTTTTTTTGAACTGTGACTTCAACGAATAGTTATTTTTCGATATAATGATCATACTATATTGGCAAAATGTATAATTTACAAAATTTATGTTTGCTCTTTTTATTTTACTATGATTGTAAGTATTTTAAAATTGTTTAACCTTTTAATAAAATGCTTATTATTATATTTATATTTTATACATCATGACTATAGGAGATACCATATGCTCATAATAATATTTTTCATTTTTGTCCACTGAAGAAATTGTTTTAGTTATGAGAAATCTTTACATATTTACAACAATACTTAATTATTATTATATTTCAATTGTTATTATTTTATTATTACTCTTATTCTTTTTAACATAAAAATGTTCAATTATTTCAAAACAATAGATAATAAAATGCTTTTGTTCACCAAAAATATATTATACTGAATAATATTAATGATAAATTAGGTAGGTAGGTATATGATTAAATTATTAATCGTTCGTTCATTCGATCGATCCCATTTCTTGTTGAAAAAATGTTCCTTTGTTTGAATATTATTTAATTTAGGTTTATGTATTTATTATTGAAATTAACCTTCCTTTAAATTATATTATAAACTCAATGTCTAATGTTTATTTATGACCTCCCTACCTACGTTTACAAATCTAATGTTATCATTATGATAACTTGGCGACTCCACATAACTAAATCGGCCCTGATGTTGATATCGATGGTTTAAAAAAAATATTGCCTGAAGATACCTCAGAAAAGGTCTCAAACTACACAAGTTGCATTGTGTAATGTTATCACATATTATAAGATGTATTATTTCTCAATGAGCCAAAAACAATGACGATGTTTAATCCTTTTAATGTTTAACAAAATAAATACAATTTACGTAACTTTTCCATTGACCATTGTATTATTATAATACACATTTTGTTTAGATGATACTTAATTCGAAACATTAAATAATATAATCATATGAAGAGTAATCAAATAATACTATATTCTAATTGGAGAATGTGAGTTGTGGTTGTATTGCAGGTTAATGCGACCTAAGTACATCGTAAACTTTATAATCGAGGTCTAAGATAAGTAGGTTAGGACTGCAGTTTAAAAAATATTTACAAACATTAAAGAATGAAGAAAAATGTTTTCAGCAAATTTATTTCCAAATTAAGTATATGTATCTGATATAGAGACATGTCTTCATAGTTCATACTTATATCTACTTATGTTATGTTTCATACAATTTAAAAACCGCTCATTAATTTGATCATATTATACAAATTGTTTGTATGTAATATGTATTTTCGTATTATTTGCAATAATACTGATATCGGAGCTAATGAAATTTTTCTCGAATTGAGGTAATCGATATTTTTAATTATTGATATTACTTCCAATATTTATTCATTGAGTTGGCTCCCTCAACATTTATTTTATAAATCCATTGGTTATCAAAATTATACAAAAAGAAATTCAACAATACATTAAAATAATTTAAAACACAAATACTACATTTTATATTGCATTCAATAACGTTTTTCTGAGCCAATTAAATGTTCGATGAGATAGGAACTTTACCTAATATTGGAAGACAATTCAATGGTCACAATTAATACGACGTATGTTAATTATGTAAATAAAATAGGTTTTTAGGTATACATTAAATTATAAATGTATAAATATTATAATTAAATCAGGCCATAGAAATAGAAGCTTAAATTAATACGAAAAATAACAGTTTCGTAAGTTACTTTAAAAACTTTTTGTTGATTATGAACCATGGAATAATTATTTCTTATTTTTTGAAGTAATTTGTAGTGTATTTATTCGATTTTAGTTTTTATTTAGTTTATACATTCTGCAGAATTTCAATATAATAGTAAAATAAACGTAAGTGATACAGACATTTACAGTTACAAGAGAGGTGGACTTGAGTGGAGGTGCTGCCCATTGGTGACACTTCAACATTTCAAATATATTTACAATTTCATAGGAGATCGAGGAGTGAGAGTAGTCGAAAATATTATTTATTGATATTTTTTTTTAGGTAGTTGTGTGATGACTGTTATTATACGCGTCTGTTGTAAGTAACTTACATGTTATATAACGTACTGCAAAGTTCTGCAACTTTGAATGTTTGCAAAACAATTATTCACTGAAAAATGGTTATGACTTATAGCCGTTATAGGGCTATTTGGAACTATTCAAACAAAAGGGGGTACTAATACTTAAACCTGGAACTAATAAAACACTTTGGCTACCTTTTATGCTTTATTATTAGAAAGTTTTTTTTTATTAATTTAGAACATTGATCAGCAATTTTAATTTAAACTCATCAAAATTTCTATAACTATAAATGTTTTGATACCTACAAGTATGAATGATCAATATTTTATTTATCATAATATTATAATAATCAATTTATTTTTTATGCTTACTTATTGTATTCAAAATGTATTCTAGTTGATTCCAACTAATAAGAAAATGAAAAAATTGGTAAACATATTATTTAATGTTCCAAACAATGAGTAAGTACTTAATAAGATTTATATTGTTTACCATTTTCACTCTATTATTTTTTCAATTACTCTATTATTACTGTACCTACTCATGTCAAATTATTTATTTGCCACTTTAAATACATGTAGTTTTTAGTTTTAATTTCATACATTTTTATGAATAGAACATAGAAGACATCCTCGTATACCTAGATCTAATCATATTATATAAGTACACATAGATTTTTGTCTGTGATATTCTTATTAATTAAGAATATGATGGCAAGTACACTCCTCGGACTTCAGCCAAAAAAAGAAATGTAATAATTCAAACATGTTTTTTAAAATATCTTATAACGGAAAATCTAAAATCTTAATTCGAGTATCAACAGAAACAACAACAATGGTGGAAATAAGCAGCTTCTGCTATAATAGTAGGTATACAGGTCGTACAGTCGAACACTTAACTGAAACGGAATGCGGATTGTACACAGATAAATGCTCAACACACAACATAATATCCCATACAGAAATCTGCAGGAGAAAGCATTGGACCAATCCCAAAAAACTCAAACAATTATATTATGTTAACATTTAATTTCAAGATGAGTCAACGTTTCCAAAAAAAAAAAAAAATAAAAATATTGAATAACCACTGATATTATCAAAACGTTAATATTACAAATTATTGTATTGTAGAAAATAGAATAAAAAACTGTAAACTCATATTTGGTGTTGGCCGAATTAGTAACTACTGAAGTCTCTGATCAAATAAAAAACATCATATAACATATCAAAGTCATCGTATGTTGCAACGCTTACATTATAATATTATTTATCCATAAATGCATATTTATAATTTGAAAATAATAAGGTCTTCAAACGCTGATACCTACCTATAGGTATTTAATAATAATGCATGTAGCAAAAACAAACAATATAATTACCTGGTTGACGTTCTTTGAACTAGATCCCGTTATTCGAGAGACTGCAAGAACTGAAAAAAAAACACAATATTATATTTTAGTACAATACGAGGTACATAGTACACACATAATTTTTAACCTTTATTTTTTAACGAAAAATTGCAAAAAAAATATTATGTTATTGAATAATAGTTCGTTTTAATAAATTAAGAAATACACTACAGAGTACAAGTAATAAATATAATATGATTCATTTTACAGTCAGTCAATTCCATCATAAATAATATTTCCTAAATAACTTAATTCACCTCTAATGTTCAGAAACAAATTAAATTATATGTTACATTATGTTATATATTATTATATTTATAAGTTATTACTTCATTGCAAATACAATTTTTATTCAATAGCCTATATATTTGTATACAATAGTTTTCAACTTCTGAGTAAAATATAGGCACATAGTATAACACGAATTATAATAAACACAAACAATAGACATAGACATAGGCTGTTGGTAATGATATTATAAGTGTAGTATGGATTTTTTTTAAAAGAAATTTCGACAACCAATAAGCAAAATTGAATTTAGAATAAATATGAATATGACTATCAATATTATGTAATATGAAAACATATTTTAATTTTAAAATGTTGCTATTTTATTCTCTGATACTATATAGAAATTATCAGTTTACTTATTAATAGTATTTACTAATACCTATATTTACAATTAATACTTTGAATATAATATAAGTTTATTGATGATTTTTATCTTAGGTATAAGATAATTTGCTTTATTTAAATCCTAACCAAACTTGATTTAAAAAATACGTGAAAATTCATAAAAACCTTAACAAATGTAGAAAAATATATTAAAAAAGCGAGAAAGTAGTTCTCAACTCAATATTATATTATATTCCCTGTATATTATATTATCTGTGAATGGAGCCCATTTTAAAAGTCACTATCCCATTATTACATCTCGATCAGTACAAAAACAAATGTATGGAGTGTTAAAATAACGCGTTATTCTGAGTACTAAATGAATATCTATAGGGCTGCAGTACCTAGCAAGAATAAATTACCAATATTATACACTCGTCTACAAAATATTATCGTTCGCTTTACCCACGAAAAAAGCTGTAGAAGTACTGGCAGTATTGTACTATTCATAAAAACCACTTCTTAAGGTTGTATTTGTGGAGGTGTATATTATATTATATCCTTCAAATATTTTCCAATACAATTTAAATTAACTTACAAGCCATAGTATTATACTATTGTTCCACAAAATAAACAAAATCATCAAACCGTACGATGAAAAAAATATCATTATATCCGATTGAAGGTTTAGTACTAATAATAAGCTGCATGTAGAGTAATTAATTATTTTGACCGATATAATACATAATTAAGAGTATACAATTTTGGATAAGATTTTTTTGTTGGAATTTATGAATCAAAATATATAGCAAATATTAAAAAGATTCTTGTCAAGGTCGTACATTTAAACAGCGTTTCCTGTCGAGATTTAAACAATTATTTTGTATTCATGTTCCACATCTTTAAATAGTAATTAAGTTACTAAACTTATCTCACTATTATCTAATTTATCTGATACCTATAGAAATGAAGACCTAAATGATATCATGTGATTTATATCTCAAATATTTTTTTTTATATAGGACAACAATGGATAAGGATTTTATAAAATATTATTTTTCAGGTATGATTTTTAAATTACTATTCATTGCTGTGTGTGTGTCTATGAGTGATTTTTAAATTTAAATAAAAAAAATCAATTTGTAATATTTTTACGCAACATTCTTTAAGAGAATATCATAATATATATTATGTAGAATCGAAACGTATAATATAGATACCAACATTTCGGAGATAATTTGATTTATTCTATATACGCCACCACGTGTATGCTCGAATCAATACATCGCACACGTTCTTAGGTTGTATATGTATATAAATAAGTAGACAAGTTGGTACAACATATTCTATTATAATGTATATTACATTTGTACTTGGAGACATTGGTACGTCTGTACAAATATTATATTAATACACAATTGAATAGCCGAGGCGTGTTTCCTTTTCTCGCGTTTCATATTATTCTACATGAAATGTAACATTATTATAGACATATATATTGTGATATACGCGTGATCACAAATATGTGATTTTTTTTTAAATTATACGTATGGTAAAATAGTCTGTTTTTTTTAGAAACACGTTACGGTAGGAATACGTTTTGAATAGACGCGTTTATGTATGACCGCGGTCCGCAACGCGTATCTACTACCTGTTATAATAAAGTGTAAGAACAGCGGCCTCACATGATGTACCCATTTTATTGTGGTTACCATAGGGACACTGTATACACTTTAGGTAGACATAACTGCACGTTATGGCTTGTGTCGTACACTGACCTACGAAATTCGGCGACTGCGTATGTGTATATAGGTATTATAAAGGTGGGTATGACATAATTGAGTTTTGTATTTGTTTGACAAAAAAAATTAATAAATGCCAATTGAAATGTATACGAAATATTTGTGATAATGGTATGTAGTGTAAGATTACAGCACTAGCCTATAATTTTTTTAATGTATCGTCTCCACAGAAATGTTAATACCTACCCATTTACCAATCTGCAGTGCACACCATTAATTTAAAACAATTTAAGCATGAACAATTATTATGTAACCTTTACTCGGGAAATGAATTATCCGAATGCAGAATAAAGACTGCAGAAACCTAACCAAAAAAGGAACTGAACTTTTTGAAAATTGTAGAACGAAACTCTCGTCGTGGAACCAGTATTTACATTTTTTCCTGAGAAACCAACATCTTTTAGATCATCCAATTTCTGCACCGTGTATAGATAGGTATCAGCTATAATATACTACCTATACATTGCAGTTGAAATTTAACGATGGTATCTTCCGCGAAAAACCCGAATCATCTAGTACATATTATGGAACAATGCAGACAATAATAACACTTAACGACAATGTATAACCGGACCACATATCGAGCGTTGTACCAGTAACCGGGTACTTACCTATAATACACCACGCGCGTGGGCGAATCGGCAAACGCAGTACGAACGTGAAACATTGATTGCGGAAAACAAATAGCCGTTAGGTGGATATTGGGTTGCGCAATAATTGCATAATATTATAATAAAATGTACCCAATAAATTATTAATATTGTACATTTTATTATATTATGGGTTTTTTTTTTTGCGCCGAAAACAACAATAATTCCGGTTTTGCTTTCGTGTGCTCGAATGCCGCAGACGACGCGACGTGTTTCATATTATACCGCCGCCGCCGCTGCATTGTGCGATAACTCCAAGAAGGCGGTCACAATTAATATACCGCCGCCGCCGCCGCGGCCGTCGTTGCAGCTTTCACTTGGTAAAAAAAAGAAAAAATAAACAAATACACGGCGCAAAACAAAAAATGATATTCTGAAATCTCCCACTTGGCGCGGGCGGCAGGCCCAGAAGACGTTCCTGCGCCGCCGATGTAGTACAATAATAATAATAATAACTGTATAATGCGTGCTATGTGCAGGTATGCTGTAACACAATAATAATATAAACAATGTGTATAATAGACGGACCCATCCCGCGTTTATATTTGGACTTAGTTGGGCCATGTAAATCGGGATCTATATAATATATACTGGCTATATATGTTCATATATTCCACGCCTCACGTATCGCGATCGTACGTGTACCTCCTATACAATAATAATAATAATACATAAACCCATACAATTTATTGCATTATTATTATTTCGACAATCCACTGAATGCACTTTTCATATTATTATTATTATTATTATTACACCGCTACAACAGCAGTCGGGCAATGACTCGACGACGTAAGGTTCGCGACCGAAAATCGTAATATATAGGTACCTTCACATAGTAAAATATTGTATTATGTGTAGAAAACATGTAGACGCTATTGCTGGGAAATATTATAATAATTTATAATATATTATAAAATAAATAGGTAGATATATTGGATATGGCGAACGGTGTAGTGCGGCACGATAAAAAATACCTAATCGAACTGTCACAATAAATTGTGGTCTAAACGATGGGACGTATAATAAATCTATAGAAAACTTAAAGGTACGTCTGGGTCTATATAAACATATTATATTTTATGTGCACATATTTATTATAATTTTATAATAATAAGTATAAAACAGTATATAAGTATATTACAAGTAATATGTGAACGAATATGCTGTATACGCGTATAAATCATATATTACTCTGGTGCAGTGTTCACACACAATGTAGTATATTATTACGCATTTACAGACATTTTTCACCGCAGTGTTATATTTCTATATGGTTTTGGTTTATATAATTGTTACCATATGGTACAAATATAGAAATCATTCCAATCATAGTACCTACAGACGGTAGGTAATACTTTACTAAATTATAGTGTTATATAATATTTGTTTTTGATCGTCTATAACAAGGGTCAACAAATGGCGGCCCCGCGGACGAATGTCTTATCTGGCCCGCAGACCAGAAATGTAATAAAGTCTCAATGTAAACGCTACATATAATGTGATATACCTATACTCCGCTGCAGTCATAATATTATTATTTATTACATTGTACACCTCCTGTTCAACCCTTTATATGGCTGTATAATATGTATGAAATTCGTATCGAAAAAAAAAGTTTACTAGTTCACTGCAGTATCTCTGTATTATTGTTTACAGAATTGAATCGTTATACCTTACAGATTGAGGTCAGCAGATCATACTTTTTATCTCAGCTGTCTCGACGGATTTAATATCGGATTTTGTATTGTGTATTCCCGTAGGAATTTTCAACGGAGGTTAGATGTATAGTTGTACACTTGTGCAGTTGTGCCTTTTGGTATACATATTATGACCATAGACAAGTATTACAGTTACACTTACTATTATCAAGTATAATGGTTTATCGAACATTTAGTAGACGTTAAATCTACATATATATTTATTCATATAGGAACCATTGTGAGAACGAGA